TGCTTTCAGCTTTTCCCATTAAGTATGATGTTAGCTGTGGGCTTGTCATATATGGCCTTTATTATGTTGAGGTATGCTTCATCTATGCCCACTTTCTGGAAAGTTTTCATTATAAATGGATGTGGAATTTTATTAAACACTTTTTCTGCATCTATTGAGATGATCATATGGTTTTGATTCTTGAATTTGTTAATGTGGTGTATCATACTGATTGATGGATATTGAAAAATCCTTGCATCCTTGGAATAAATTCATGGATATTGAAAAATCCTTGCATCCTTGGAATAAATCCCACTTGTTCATGGTGTATGATCCTTTCAATGCATCATTGGAGTCGATTTGCTAGTATTTTGTTCAGGGTTTTTGCATCTATATTCATAAATGATATTGGCCTATAATTTTCTTTTTGTGTGATATCTTTGGTTTTGGTATCAGGGTGATGATGGCCTTATAGAATGAGTTTGGAAGTGTTCCTTCCTCTGCAGTTTTCTGGAATAGTTTCAGAGGGATAGGTTTTTAACTCTTCTCTAAATGTTTGGTAGAATTCACCTGTGAAGCCATCTGCTCCCAAACTTCTGTTTGTTGGGACTTTTTTAAATTGCTGATTCAATTTCAGAACTGATAATTGGTCTAGTCATATTTCTCATTTCTTCTTGGTTCAGTCTTAGCAAATTGTACCTTTCTAGGAAATTATCCATTTCTTCTAGGTTGTCCTTTTTTGTTGGCATATAGTTGCTCATAGTAGCCTCTTTTCATCCCTTATATTTCTGTGGTGTCAATTGTAACTTCTCCTTTTTCATTTCTGATTTTGTTAATTTGGGCCCTTTCCCTTTTTTTCTTGATGAGTTTGACCAAAGGTTTATCAAATTCATTTATTTTTTCAAAGAACCATGTTTTAGTTTTATTGATCTTTTCTATTGTTTTTTAAGTCTCTATTTCATTTATTTCTGCTGTAATCTTTTTTTCCTTCTACTAACTTTGAATTTTTTTTGTTCTTCTTTCTCTACCTGCTTTATGTGTAAGGTTAGGTTGTTTACTTGAGATTTTTCTTGTTTCCTGAGGTAAGCGTTTATCGCTATAAACTTCCTTCTTAGAACTACTTTTGCTGCATCCCAGAGGTTTTGGATCATTGTGTTTTCATTTTCATTTGTCTCAAGGTATTTTTTGTTTTCTCCTTTAATTTCTTCAGTGATCCATTGGTTGTTTAGTAGCATATTGTTTAGCCTCCACATGTTTGCAGTTTTTGTAGTTTTTTTCTTTTAGTTGATTTCTAACCTCATATCATTGTGGTCAGAAAATATGCTTGGTACAATTTCAATTTTCTTAAATTTACTGAGGCTTGCTTTGTGGGCCAGCATGTGGTCAGTTCTGGAGAACGTTTCATGTGTGCTTGAGAAGAATGTATATCCTGTCGTTTTTGGGTGGAATCCTCTACAGATAACAATTAAGTCCCTCTAGTCTAATGTGTCACTTAAGGCCCATATTTCCTTATTAATTTTCTATCTGGATGATCTGTCCACTGATGTAAGTGAGATGGTAAGGTCCCCCACTATTGTTTTATTGCCAATTTCTCCTTTTATATCTGTTAATAGTCGCCTTAGATAGTGAGGTGCTCCTATGTTGGGTGCATATGTATTTACAATTGTTTTATCTTTTTCTTGGATTGATCCCTTGAGCATTATGTAGTACCCTTCTTTGTCTCTTGTAACAGTCTTTATTTTAAAATCTATTTTGTCTGATAGATGTATTGCTACTTGAGCTTTCTTTTGGTTTCCATTTGCATGGAATCTCTTTTTCCACCGCCTTTCAGCCTGCATGTGTCCTAGCTCTTAAGTGGGTCTCTTGTAGACAGCATATATATGGGTCTTGTTTTGTATCCACTCAGCCAGTCTATGTATTTTGGTTGGTGTGTTTAATCCGTTTACATTTAAGGTAGTTACTGATACGTATGTTCTTATTGCCATTTTGTTAATTGTTTTGGGTTTGTTTTTGTAGGTCCTTTTTCTTAGTTTCTTTCTCTCTTTCTTCTTTTTCTTCTTTTTCCTTGTGGGTTGATAACTAGAGAAATTCCTTTAACATTTGTTGTAAAGCTGGTTTGGTGGTGCTGAATTCTTTTAGCTTTTGTTTATCTGAGAAGGTTTTGATTTCTCTATAAAATCTGAATGAGAGCCCTGCTAGATAGAGTGTTCTTGGTTGTAACTTTTCCCCTTTCATCACTTTAAATATATTGTGCGACTCCCTTCTGGCCTGTAGCATTTCTGCTGAAAAATCAGCTGATAACCTTATAGGAGTTCCCTTGTATGTTATTTGTTGCTTTTCTCTTGCTGATTTTAATTTTGTCAGTTTGATTGCTATGTGCCTTGGTGTGCTCCTCTTTGGATTAATTCTGTGTGGAACTCTCTGTGCTTCCTGGACTTGGGTAACAGTTTCCTTTCCCAAGTCAGGGAAGTTTGGGCCTATTATCTCTTGGAATATATACTCAGATTCTTTATCTCTCTCTCATCTTTTTGGGACCCCCATAATGTGAATATTGGTGCTCTTCATGTTGTCCAAGACTTCTCTTAAACTATCATTTCTTTTCATTCTTTTTTCTTTTTTCTGTTCTACAGTAGTGAATTCCACTAATCTGTCTTCTAGCTCACTGATTTGTTCTTCTGTCTCATTTAGTCTATTCTTGGTTCCTTCTAGTGTGTTACTCATTTCAGTGATTTTATTCTTCCTCTCTCTTTGGGCATTCTTTATATTCTCTCACTCTTTGCTAAAAACTTCCCCCTGTGCATCTATACTCCTTCTAAGTTCTCTGAACATCTTCACCATCATTACTCTAAACTCTTTCTTGGATAGATTGTCTATCTCATCATCACTAATATCTTCTTCTGGAATTTTATCTTGTGTTTTAGCCTCAAAGATATTTCTCTGCTGCCTCATGCTGTCTTTCTATTTGTATTTTTTGGTAGTTTAGTTATATTTTTTGACCTTGGAGAATTGGCTTTCTGTGGGAAACGTCCTATGCATCCCAGCAGTACACTCTTCTCTTGTCACCCAAGGGCCAGGGTCCAGCCCGTCCCAGGGTAGAATCTGGCCTGTGTTTGTGGATTCCTTCCACAGGCTTTGGGATTGTTGTTTTCTTATTTCTGATATCTGCCCCCTGGTGGATGAGGCTGGACTAGAGCCTTATGCAGGTTTCCTGGCAGGAGGAGTTAGTGCCTGTCCAATGCTGGGTGAGGCTTGGTCCTGGTCCTCTGTGGGTAAGGCCATCTCTAGGGTCGTGTCTAGAGGGGGGTTCAAGGCTCAGGAAGTCTGCTGATGGGTTGGGCTGTGTTCCCACCCAGTATTCTGTTTGGCCTGAGGCTTCCCAGCACTTAAGCCTTTAGGCTGTTTGCTGGAGCTAGGTATTGGTGCTAAGTCCCAAGCAAGGTGTCAGCTTCTGAGAAAGCTCACATAGATGAGCACTCCCAGAATGTCTGCCACCAGATTTTATGTCCCCAGGGTGAGCCACAGCCATCCCCTATGTCCCCAGGAGACCCTCCAAACCAGTAGGCAGGTCTGGCCCAGGATTGTATGAAATCACTGCCTGTGCCCTTGGACCTGGTGCATCGAGATTCTGTGTACACTTTCCAAGAGAATGAAGTCTCTGTTTCCCCCAGTCCTGTGGGGCTCCTGGAGCCAAGTCCTGCTAGTCTTCAAAACCAGATGTCCTGAGGTCTCCTCCTCCCAATGCCAGGACCCCAGGCTGGGGGGCCTGACATGGGGCTCAGAACTCTCATTCCTGTGGGAGGGCCCCTGCA